TTTGTTTGTTTGCTTTTGTTTTTTAGATTCCACATATGAGCGATCTCATATGGTATTTTTTTTCTCTTTCTGGCTTACTTCACTTAGAATGACATTCTCTAGGAGTATCCATGTTGCTGCAAATGGCATTACGTTGTCGGTTTTTATGGCTGAGTAGTCCGGTGCTCTTCTTATAAAAGCAGCAGCAGCAGCACCAGAGATCTTTCTCTCGGCACGTACCCAGGGAAAAGGCCGCGTAAGGACACAGTGAGAAGGCAGCCGTCTGCAAGCCAAAAAGAGAAGACTCATCAGAAACCAAACCTGCTGGCCCTTTGATCTTGGACTTTCAGCCTCCAGAACTGAGAAAATAAAGGTCTGTTGCTTAAGCAACGTGCTCTTTATTATGGTAGCCCTAGCTGGCTAAGACAGGGTGGTAACAGCTCCCAGCTCCTGTCAGCCTTGGGGTACGTCACCACCCCTGTGGATTTCCCTGGAGGTGGCCCGCACCTCTGCTGAGCTTCCTCCCTGGCCCACGTTGGGTGCATCACTTGTCCCCAGCCACTGGTCTCAACCTAAGCCTCCCACTGGGATCACCTGGGGAGTTTCAACAATGCTGACTCCGGACCCACCCCCAGAGAATCTAAGGCAATTGGGTGAAGCTGGCTTTGGGGAGTTTTCAAACTCTCAGGTGATTCTAATGTGCAGACAGTCTGAAAAGTCGTTGATCTAGGGCCGCGTTTCTCAACCAGAGGGGCCTCTGCCCACTCCGGTCCCCAGGAGACATTTTTGGTTGTCATACTCGGGGAATGGATGCTGCCAACATCTAATGGGCGGAGGCCAGGGATGCTGCTGAACATCTGGCAATGCGTAAGGCAGGACCCTGCAGCGAACAGTGACCCAGCCTCAGATGTCAGTGTTGCCGAAGTCCAGAAACCCTCCTCTAGAGGTACACGAGCCAAGTATTCCCTCTGTGAAGGTGCACACCACCACGTCGGGGGTAGGTAGGTACTATTCTGTACCCATTTGGCAGAAAGGAAAACTGAGGCTCAGAGAGAGGACGTGACTTGGCTATGCTCAGACAGCAGAGCTGGTGCTCACACTGCTCTCTAGCAGACAAAACGGCAAAAAGTGCCCATGGGGTACTGGGGAGGAGACTGGAGGTGGGTGGTAATAAAGCCCACTGGTTGTGCAGGCAGATTTAGCTGCCAGCCTGTCACTCTCTGGCTCTGTGACTTTAAAGCCTATAGCTTCACCTCCCAGTGCCTCAGTGTCCCCATTCATAAAATGGGGCTATGGTAGTAATGCAGGCATGGGTAGCCATTGCAGGGGGCCCAGAGGCGCTGGGCTGTTTAGTGGGCAGGGCTGGCAGGAGGGTGGGATGGGGTCTGCCCAGAGTGGGTGGGGAAGACTCAGTTATTACCAGGAGGAAGAACATGCCAGGTGAGGGCACAGTGAGTGTGAGGGCACAGTGATTGTGACGGCCCTGGAATGGAAGGAAGGCAGGAAAGCCTGCTTCACCTTCCTTCTCCGCCCTTCTTCCTGAGCCAAAATTGCAAAAGGGCCAACTCCAGGCCAGGAGATTACACCCAGGGGTGTTCTCGAGTTGGATCAAACTGACTCACAAGAGCCAGTTGTGCACATCTCTTCCTAGCTCAGGGCCCAGGGATATTTCATTCACAGCTTGAAATCCACCAAGTTGGGAGAATTTACACCGTGGCAATTGGCAAACACTACAAATCAGGTCCCCTCACCCCAGCTGGTTTGCCAGCACACTCCGGCTTACACATACCTCCTCACACCCCTGTCTCAGTCCGCTGGGGCTGTTCTAACAAAATGCTGTAGACTGAGTGGCTTATAAACAATAAACATTTTTTAAATTTTATTTTTATTTATTTATTTATCTTAAATTTTGTTGGGTAGAGGTATTTAGGTTTATTTGTTTTATTTTTTAACAGAGGTACTGGGGATTGAACCCAAGAACTCATGCATACTAAGCACATGCTCTACCACTGACCCATACCCACCCTCCTAGACAATAAACATGTATTTCCACAGTTCTGGAGGCTGGAAGTCCAAGATTAAGACACAGGCAGGTTTGGTGTCTGGTGAGAGCTTTCTTCCTGTTCATGAATGGGCCTTGTCCTCACATGAAGGAAGGGGTGAGGGATGTCTCTGGGGGTTTTTTATAAGGGCGCTAATCTCATTCACAAGCGCTCTGCCCTTATGAATTAATCACCTCCCAGAGGCCCTACCTCCAAACACCGTCACCTTGGGGGTTGAAATTTCAACATGTGAATTTTGGAGGGACATAAACATTCAGTCCCTAGCATCCCCCTCACCCCTTCAGTGACATGACTTTTACAGCTTGAAACTGACCAAAGTAGAAGACTTTACACTATGGAAATCGGCAAACATTACAAACCCCAGCTGGTTTCCCCGCACACCATTGCTTACACTCAGACGGCTACCCCAGCTGACACCTTTTCACCCACCATTCAAGACAGGCAAAACCCCTCACCCTCAGGTGGGGCAAGGCAGGAGGCCAGCCTGGTGGACCAGGCAGATGACAAAGATCGTGTCAGAGAGTGACAAAAGAAATGTCGTGAAGAAAACAACAGTGGGTAAGGAGAAAGTGAGGAATAGGGGCTGCTATTTTATTTTACTTATTTTATTTTTTAATTGAAGTATAGTTGATTTACAACGTTGTGTTAATTTCTGGTGTACAGCACAGTGATTCAGTTATATATATATATTCTTTTTCATTATA